CAGAACACGGTCACACAGCCCGGAAGACCCACACCAGCCATTGTCAGGGCATGTTCAAGACTATTGGCATCCATGGGGAGGAGGTTTCAAACTAGGGGAAAAAAACCCTCTCTCATGGACACCAATGGGAAAGGCTCTAAGTAGGACTTCTGACAAAACTATCAGCTTTACAGTCAGAAAGGCAGGAGTTGAACAATCCCTGACTTTTGGTGTGTCAATACAAGCATACATCTGAAGCTAATACATAGATGTTTGAAACAGAATACTCCATCAGCACGGAGACAGCTGCACACTGGAGATACACAGCCCTAACAATGCACAAATATGCTTCCCCCCCCCCGATTTGTTGAGCAAGAATTTCACATGAATAAGAACATAATTAGAGAAAGGCAATCATTTTAAACCAAGTTGATCTTTGTGTGATTAAGGTAAAATTTCCAGAAGGTACAAATTCATTTCTTTCAAAAAGGCAAAGCTAAATGTGGCACAAGAAAATCTAGGAATAGATTTTACTGGGTTAGTAAAAACTTATTTAGTGTGGCTCTTCTTGCTGAACCCTTACTCTGTGTTATTTTATAGCCCAACAGCTGTTCTGTGATCCTGCCACTGAAATTCATCAGCAAAGTAGTGATTTTTAGTAGAATAATTTTTGCAGGTGATAAAATTCAACTCCAAATGTGCTTAAACACACCTATTTTTAGGGAACCACCCAAACTGCAGTAAACAGTCTGAACATTTCAGCCTGGGTTTCTTGCAATATTCCAGCAATCCTGGTAGAACCCTGCATCCTCTGAGGCCAAAATAATAAGGGGAGAAATTACTCCTGGGGCAGAGAAAGAATGGCAGGGCAATCAGGCCAGAGGTCTGCCTGGTAGGAGGAGAAATAAGCAATGATTGTGGGAGTATCACATCTCATTGCCTCACTATACCCACTAAGCAACATTAGACCGCTAATATGGCTAGAAATGTAACTAGCCTGGGTTGAAGGGAATACTGTATGGGATTCTGAACTACTCAGGCATTCCAGGGAATGTATTTATAAGCATAAAATAGTTTAAACCTTAAGTGTTTACATTTCAATGCAGAAACTCTAACCCCTGTGGGTTATACAGACTATACAGTTTTTTTAAGGCAAGGTAACAGCTCAAAAATATCAACATTTGTGAATTTAATTTTTAATTAATTTATTTGGGCAACAGTGTGCCTCATCTTGCACTGTTGTTTGCACATGAACGTACCTACATGTACATCCTGCATTGTGGAACTTCGCCCCTTTAACAATACAGTAATGGAGGTGTAATGCAAGATGCATCTGATGAGACAAATACACTACACATAGATGAGACTCAATCGCTAGTGGGTGAAAGAACAGCTGGTAAAAGAGTAAGCGGAAACAGGGAGGAGGCTAATTCTGCCTTTTTACTACCCCAAGTGGAATGCAATAGCCCATCATTCCTTGAACTGGAAAAGGGACAGAGCTAAAATTCTAGATAAGTTAAATCGGAGCACTACGTACAAAGAATTACAAGAACTTGTTTCCACGCCGTGCATTTTATCACCGTTTGCAAGACTGGAAAGCTACCAGCAGAAGGCTACCATGTCTGGGCTGCAAAAACCCAGGCGTCAGGAGGTGACAGCGAAGAGGCCCTTCTGACTTTCTGTAGCTCAAATACGGACGAGCATCAGAGTCGCAGGAACGCCCCGCGCTGCCTGCGAGAACCTCTTTCTGCCCGGGGCGGAGCTGTTCCAGGTCATCCCTGGCGCGGGCGGGTCGCGGGCTCCGCGCTAACAGAAGCCGGGAGATTCGGCTGAGCGGCGGGGAAACAGTGCTGCTGCCGCCTCGGCCCTTTGATCGCCGTCCGCCTTGTCCCGAACCAGCTCGCGGGGAAGGGTGAGTTGGGGCCGTGGGGGCGCGCCTGCCCGCTTGGAGGGAATGAGCCTTTCCGAAGGCCGCGGGTGGGGGACTTGGCCGCAGATCGTTGTAAACGCGCTTGTTTTGTTTTCTGCTTAGCCTGTCCTCCGGGGAAAAGTTGCTCCTTGCCACACCTTGGTTGTGCAACGGGCGTTTGAGACTGAGGCGGCCGAGCCATTGAACTTACAGCAGATTCGTCCCCGCAGACCTTAGCTCTAACTGCTGCCTGCAAAATCTTCTGCGGGAGGTCGGGGGCGCTTTCACATTGTTACCGACTTTTCAGTGGCAGGGCTTGCAAGACGCGCTGAACAGCTAGCCAATCATATTTTAACCCAGCGTTTTGTGAGAGTGCAGCGGCTGTTTCTCACAAATAGTAGACATCTCTATTGCTAATTTCTCTCCCTCCAAAACCAGTACACTTGAGGATGCCGGAAAGAGACTTAAGTGCATTGTTTAGGGCCAAATCCCTCCTCTCTCAGCTCTCTGCTTTGGAAATTGTTTGTACTGTAGCTTGTAGCTACTTCTGCTAAATCCGTGGAATAGATAAAACCTAACTGGAGAAACAGTCTGCACAAATGAATGGTGCTGGCTGGATTCGCTTCCTTGGTTGGCATTAGGTTTTGCCTTCCACTGAGCCATAAATATGCCAGTCACTGTGCTTGTCAACTCATGTGGTTAGCTTATAGCTGTGCCATATGATCATGGGAAATTCAATTAATTCTATATAGCAAGTGTACTGTTGGAATGCAGGAGATGACAGTCTGCAGGATAAATCTGCTGTTAGTATTTAAGATATTATAGTTCTCTTTGCAGACCAAGGCCTAATTCAAACAGTATGCTGCAAGCATAGTTTTTGGGTTTTTTTCTTTCTTTCTTTTTGAACATACTATGGGGATACTAACAATCTATGGCCCCCCAAAATGTTGAGTTACAATTAACAATTCCAGCCACAATGTGGGATAGTTTAATGGTTAAGGTACAACAATTACAACTTCTGGCATCCCTCATCATTGTATTTGCTGGCTGAGCTGCTGGGAGCTTTAGTTCAACAGTATCTAAAGAGTCATCACTTCTAATTATGTGAGGAAGGCGCCTTGCTTTTAGCAGATCTATAGTGAAATTAGAATTCTCTGCAGCACATGGTTGTTTCCTTCAAGAAAATAACTCCAAGCTTTTATAGGTTTCAGGAACTCTCGGCAGAAAAAAAAAAAGTGGGCCTAAAGTAGTCAGGCTTCAAAGTTCTGTTTTTGTGTGGTGTGGAAGCCCAGAAGATAAGAGAGCAGAGGGCAAGACCATGATAATGTTTAACGTTCAAACTATGAGATTAAAAGGAGGTTGGGCTGTAGAGAGCAATTCCTGTGTGTTTGGGTTTGCCACATGAACTGTTTTTTGGCGGGGCTTTATACAGAGGGAGAGCAACTTGCTGTGTTTTTCTACTTAATGTTTCTGTACCCAGGTTTTGAATTTGCTCATACTTGGATGCAACGCAAAGGAGAATTTACTTAGTTACTAGGACATTGAGAAGAAAACATAGCAGATATAGGACACATTAGCTGCTTACAGTGTTCTACAGATGTTTTCTCCCTTTGCAGCACAGGTAGTCCCCAGTTTAAGAAAGAGTTCCATTCCCAAGGTCTGTCCTTAAGTTGAATTTGTATGCAAGCCAGAACAGTGTTATTGTATAATACTGTATAAGTACTATTGTGTAATTAACTGTGTATTTAACTCGAATCATTGTGTATTTAACTTGAATTTTGCTACAGTAAGCTCCATTCTTAACTATGGGTCATCCATAAACAGGGTGTTCTTAACCCAGGGACAACCTGTATTTCAAGCTCAAGGATTTACTGTGATTATTTTACTGAATTTATTCATGGTGGTTGTGGTTACTGCTGCTAGGGCATGAGTTGGATTTGTGGGTGTTGGGAAGAGAGTGAGCTTGAGGAAAATTCAGCCTCATCCCAAATGTGGAAGATCTTTTGCGCCTTTGCTCACATAGTATAAAAATGCAGCTTTATGTACGGCAAGGAATCAGCTTAAGTATTGTATCAGCAAATACTAGAACTTAAATATTCAAAGTTTAAATATTGAAAATGATGAATGGCAGATGAATTGGGACAATAGTTTGGAACTATGACTGAATCCTGCAAATTGGAGATGTTTGCAATAGCCTGTCTTCATTTTTTAGTTCATGAAGGACTTGGACATTGTCATCTCACCTTAATGCATTCAAAGTAATTACTTTGTTAGCATTTTTTTAGTAATCATTTGGGGACAGTTTGCCAGCATAGGGTTTGCTTATACACTTATTTTTAAAGGAAAGATCATCTTGTTTTCTAGAAAAAGAGGGTTTGTTTTCTAAGGCATTTAGCTATTTCAATCCCCTACTACTCTGTAGTTCATAATTCTAGCTAGTCGGGAGAAAAAACAAAAGTCATTAATATTAGAACACCAAATGCAAGAGAAGAAAAGCTTTGGACAAAAATCCCTAGATAGTCTCCTGAAAAGCAGTTATATTCTCTCTGACTTGGTTCATGTAACATGCTAAACTATAGTTTGTAGAATAATTCATAGTTCCCTGTGACTTTACACTGACATATGTATGTGCTTATTTACTTTCAGCATAATGTAAACATGTTTTGCGTGAAAACAAGACTCACAGAATTCATTGGAATTTATTCCGATGTAAATACCTGAATGTTCAGCAGGTGATACCTAAGCAGGTTGGCTCTAGCTAATAGTTAGACAGAAGATCCCCAGGAAAACCCAAACTTCAGGTTAGATTGAGAAGTCAAAAAAACATCCTGGATGAAAGTTACAACTATTTACCCTATTGAACTTTTCTTTTCAAAACTAGCAGAGTTAATAGAAGGAACACAGAACTCAGCTTCTCAGCGGTGAAGGTGGCATGCTTTCAATCTGCCAAAGTTCTTAAAAGATGTAACACACATGTTTTCTCCTATAAGAAGTGTAATGAAGCTAAACTGAAGAGATGTGAATCCAAAGCTGCCTTATTTGTTTTCTAATTCTGGTGCCTTTAAAACTTTCTAGGAAGGTTTAAGTTATTTCACTTTTGGGAAAAATTGGTTGTTGGATTTGACAATGATGGGGTGAAGAGCATGCTTCAGAAGTGCTAACCTGTAGAAGCCAGCCTCTATTGTGGTCTTCCACTCACTTACATCTTTTTGTTTGGATGTCCTCTGTTGGGGGAAAGAGAATGTAATTATTACCTGTTTATGTCAGGTAATGATATACTCTGTCACCTCCTGTATATCAGAGTGAACAGGGCTTGGACTAATTTATTTCTTTTAACTTTCTTCACAGTGCCAGGATGGTGGTTCTCTCGAAAGAATATGGCTATGTGATTCTCACTGGTGCTGCCAGTTTTGTCTTGATAACACACCTTGCAGTAAATGTGGGGAAAGCACGCAAAAAATACCATGTGGAGGTAAGCTTGAGTGATTTTCCCAGAATTCCCCTACTTAATAGCAATTTGAGAGGCAGAACCTGTAGCATTTCCTGAGAGGAAATGCATGTGTAGAAATGTGATGAACGCTTCTTCAAGTTGAATTATGTAAAATATTGTGCCTCACCTTTCAGGAAACAGTATTTAAAAAACAATAATTAAAAGATTATATAATGAAGTAAACAGGAGGTAAAACAAGTAGCCAGCATAAAAACTTTCACAGAAAAGCTAAATGGAGCAAATTTGTTTTCAGTGACATTTAAAGACATTGAGGAGTGGAATAAGCCCATGGGGGGAGGGAATTCAGAGCCATTAAAAGGCCTAGTCCTTGGTAGTCTGTCTATCTGATTTTTATACAAGGGGCCCTAACCCTCTATGGTGACCTTAGTTTAAGAATGCAGACTGCACCAATAACTTAACAATTAACAAAAACTTAACAATTTTGAAACATAAAGTGAATAGGGTTATCAGATTTGGGCTGCAGAAATCCATACAGTCAGTAAGTGGCAATAAAGAGATACGGAAAACCCCAACTCTTTGTAAGTTGAAATGGATTTTAATGGACTGAAATTTAAGAAATTCTTTTTGATAGGTTGTAATAATGGGGTGGTAAGGAATGTGGGTGGGTCTGTGGCACTTTTAAAGCAATTCTGCTGCCCTGGGACTGGTCATAATCAGGGGTATGACTCTGGTGCCAGACAGCATCCTCTGTATTCTCATGATGTCAGAGGTATGCATTCACACTTCAGGAAGTTTTACTGTGGTACTGTTATAATTTGGAAAGCAACCACAAGTGATATTTTGTTATATTTTTAGATGTATACTGGCATTCTGTTTTTATTTTTAAAAGAGGCACAGTGGCTGAAAGTCCATAACTTTGCTTGATGCAGCCACTAACATAACTGCTGTGGTGAAAAGTGCTAAGGCTGAATTCTGTTTGGAGGTTTTTATTCCTAATCTTGTACAGGTAGTCCTTACTGAATGTCCACTCATTCAGTGACTGTTTGAAGTTACGATGGTGCTGAACGAGGATTCAGCTACGAACGATTGTTCCTCGCTGTTGTGGCTTCCCCATGGTCACGTGATTGTGATTCAGGCACTTGGCAACCGGCTCACAATGATGATGGTCACAGCATCCTATGGTCACGTGGTCGCCATTTGCAACCTTTCCTGGCAGCTTCTGGCAAGCAAAATCAATGGGGAAGCCATCAGGAGGTCGCAAATAGCGATCATGTTATGTCACACTTTATGACCAAGTTGCTTAGCAATGGAGTTGCCGGCCCCAATTATCATAGTTAAGTGAGGACTACCCATGGTAAATAATGAAAATGAGAGTTACTGTTTGCTAAAATAGGGTGTCTGTAAACTTTGTATCTCTCAAGAGGAAGTGGTTGAAATGGAGAGGTCAGAGTTCCACTAGGAAAAAAAATCATCATGGAGGCAGCTGCATGAGATAGAAAGGTTCACAAGAGCAGCAGTTCCTCTGCATGGACTGGCCTAGTTAGGGCTAGTTATATTTAACTTCAGCTGTATTATGGGAGTTCTGCCTAATAAAGAGGCAGCTTTATTCTGCCCTTGGTGCACTGTGTGTTCTGGATGAGAAGGGCGTGCCTGCATTGCCAATTCACATTCAATACTCAGTCATGAAGGAACTGAACTTCGTACCAGCTTTGGAACACCTTCATTAGTTTTTAGGCCTAGAATTGGCTGTTCTCATTTCTCTGCCCCAGGATGGTGCACCCTTTCTTACAGATGGCTCATGTCATGGATGGTAGAAGTCTTTCCTACTTGTAGCCCATTATCCCCTCCCCTTTCTGGGGAGTCTTGCAGGGGAGGGATGAAAGGAAGGACACTTTTTATCTACTCCTTTAGTGCTGCAACTGGGAAGAGTGCCAAAAGGTGTGCTTACTCACCTTTCAACACAGTGACTCAAAGCCTAATTACCGACAGCTGGGGCAAGATTGGAAAATATTTGATCTCTAGGTGTGATTTTTAGTAGTGCAGATGGGAGGAGGAGTTGTTAACTACAT